TTTTTTTGCCAGTTTGGAAAAGTCTCTTCAAAATGTAGCTTCCTTGTTCCTGACAAAAACATGACATTTAATGGTGTGACATTTATGATAGATCACCAGAGGGGCCCCTAGAGGGGCCACCAGGGGGCGATGGGGGGCCTCAGAAAACTGGTTTCAGTTTGAGCGTAAACACAGAAAAATATTAGCTAATATTTTTTGTCATCATTATTAAACATTATTTATTAAGAAACAATGATAAAATGTTACTTGTGATGATATACAATGCTAAGAGATTTAAAAGTGAAATGGAGTCCCTGTATAACAGCTAAGAAAGGATTATTCTCTTTGAAATGCTTTCTGTAGCCTGCTTCTGTGAGTCTGGCTTTTAACTTGAAATGTGACAGAGATAAATTACTGAAAGACATTAAAAGTTATAGCTACAACTTTTTAAAACAGTGATCTTTTTCAAAATTAAAACATTTACTGAATGAAGAGCAGCGCAGAATCACTGAAAAGAAATCACAAATTATTTTAATTACTTTTTAAGGGTCCAAATACAAATATAAAACTATTAACTTGTAGTTAAGCTGTTGACATCAGCAGGTAAAAATTCTGCTCCATTAAAAGAAGCAAAATGAGCGCTGGGACTGGTCCAACTGTTGGTGATGACTTAAAGAAGCTGCTTTTCTTCTGAACCACTAAATAAAATGTCTGTTAATGCTAAGATAAGGTTAGCATAACTGGCTGGCAAACAGAACAGAATGAGAGCTGGTGAGGATAAAAGTCCTGGCCTCGGTCCGTGTGGTCTTGACTTCAACTCTACTTTGTAATTTATCTTTATTGTGTCTATACTTTTTTTCCATTAGTTTTAGAGGTGTGGCACCATAGCGCCCCCTATTGATAAGCAGCCACTGGTGTTACTTGTCCTCCAGGTGGTAAAATCAGTTTAAAGATTTTGGTTGAACAGAAAGTTAAATCCAGCCCTGCTGCTCCGTTCCAAAGTTGAAGTTGGGAGGAGCTGCTTTAGTTAATAGTGCTGCTTGACAGAGTCATGCCTCGGTTATTCATTAAAACTATTAATTATATAAAATAATGCTGACAGGTGGTTCCTCTGCTTTCTGATGTTTAGGTTTTATTATTCTGATCAGTCCAGTTAATACTTGAACAGCAGAAACAGCCCTGGTTGCTGGGAGCAGAGGTTGATTGTCCTTAAATGATACAGTGTATCATGAATGAATTAATTAATTTATTAATTAATGCATCTGGTGCAGCTTCAGGCTTCTGATGCTGGAATCTAGTTTTGTGTTTAACCTGCTGCTTGAAATCTGCAGAGGCAGGGAAAGTGCTGGACTCTTGGTGTTAAATGTTTTCCCTACATTTTCCCTACATTTGTTCAGCATTTTTATTAGTGCCACTATCATTTTAAAGGTATTAATAAGACCTTCTAAAGGTCAACCAGCCCCCCCACCTTTTTAAAATCTATCAAACAGAGGTATTAATCAATTTAGCTACATGTGCTGCTTTTGTTTTTAAGTTGTCAATGTTTTAATTTGTTAACCATATAGATCAAAAAGGATGCCAAGCATTTGGGCCTCATTAATAAATGTCAAAGACATTAATAGAAGCATTCAGAGGTCACCAAAAGTCAAAAATTGTCTTAAAAAAAGACATTGACAAAACTTTAGTTTACCCCTTTACCCCTTAATAACAGAGCGTACTGGCGTTAGAAGCTGGAGAAGGCTGGACCTGTTTGAATCCACAGCAAAAACTCTTTCAGTCTCCTTATTTTCATGGACCTTGAAGGATCCAGCCCAGATAGACCGGGTCCTTGGAGGATGCAGCCTCTGAAATCGAACACACCCTTTGTTTTACTCAGTCCAAAATGGCAAACATTTATATAGCTAAGTTAAAACGAATAAAAAAAACTGCACTTTCAGTCCAAAGATTAAGCGATTAAAAAAAGAAGACCAATGATGGAGATAAAAGATGCGTACTGTACAGCTGACACAAGGTGAGGAATTAAAGCAAATTTCCTGGACGGCTTCTGAGCTTTTTGGCCCAGAAGGTCCTGCTACTGACTGTTCCTGTTGAAAAAGTTACTCAAGTGCTCAATGTAGTGGCCACAACAGCGTCAGTGGAAAGGTCAATCTCTGTGTTAGAAAAGACTGGAAATATTCACTCAGTTCTACCCATAAACTTTACTCCTACTAGCAGGATTAAACACTTCAACTGGCGTGCTATAAAGATCAAATCCTTGGAAATCTCCTCACACACGATCTGAAGACCAAGACCAGTGGTGGACCAAGTACTAAACAGTAATTTAAAAGCTATTCAGTCAATAATCTACATAAGTTAAAGTATTGAAGTACTCAGAACATTTCTGTATAATTTTCAGAATAATTGTAAAGAACCTGTAACTTTCAGAAACCACCTGTTTTATTGATGTGTAGAACCACCTGCTACAGATTCTACACTATCTGGAAAGAACTTCAGCCTTTAAAAATATATAAAAAAAAAATCAAAAGGACAGTTATTCTGCTTATTAGTCCTTATTTAAAAAAACAACATATGGAAAACAGGAGGGTCTTGATTCTCTTCACACTTTCACTATGGAACAGAGGTTTAAGGTTGAACCTATTACCATAAAGAAACTAAACCTCTGCTTTGAGACTCATCCTACTGAACAACTTGGCCACATGGCAACAACTAACACTCACATGTGTGGAACGTCATTAAATCTGTAAAACAGGTTTGTCCAAACTCAGTCCTAAGGGCTGCTGTCTGCCATGATGAATAAAAAACAGCAACAGCGGATTATAAAGCTAAGCTGAACTAAAAGGAACAAGAAAGTAGCAGCGTCCTGGAAATGGAGGGAAAGTTATAAGTACCCCCCCAAGAAATTACTCAATTAAAGATACTCAAAAAAGTACTTGAGTACAGTAATCAAGTAAATGTAATTTGATTCGTTCCACTACTGCGCAGAACGCACAATGAGGCCAAAACTCGGGCCAATCCAAAAAATTCTGGAGAATTAGCCTGAAAAGTAGAGCTGCGCCAATGCCATTGGCTGGCCCTGATACCGATACCTGGCTGTGCAGTATTGGCCGATACCATACCGATGCCATCTGTTTGAACTTGATGTGTGTGTGTATATGAAGAACTGCATACTACTTGGATGTAAAATAATTGCCATCATGGCTT